TGGGTCTAGATGACCCCAGCTAGATGCCTATCTAACCTCCTCTTGAAGACCCCCAGGGTAGGGGAGAGCACCACCTCCCTTGGGAGCCCGTTCCAGACCCTGGCTATTCTAACTGTGAAGAAGTTCTTCCTAATGTCCAGTCTAAATCTGCTCTCTGCTAGCTTGTAGCCATTATTTCTTGTAAGCCCCGGGGGCGCCTTGGTGAATAAATACTCACCAATTCCCTTCTGTGCCCCCGTGATGAATTTATAGGCAGCCACAAGGTCGCCTCTCAACCTTCTCTTGCGGAGGCTGAATAGATCCAGTTTCTCTAGTCTCTCCTCATAGGGCTTGGTCCGCAGGCCCTTAACCATACGAGTGGCCCTTCTCTGGACCCTCTCCAGGTTATCCGCATCCTTCTTGAAGTGCGGCACCCAGAATTGCACGCAGTACTCCAACTGCAGTGCCTCTGGTTTGTTAAATAAAATATCTGCTGACATTATAATTTAAATAAATAAAGAAGATTTCTATTGGTTTTAGGTTTGTTATTTTTTTACACAGATTAAAACATTTGTGTCAAATTAATCTCTCAGTGGCTTTTAAAACTTTCAGCCTTCCTGGAGTCACAAGATACAAACCAGTGAGATTATTTTTAACTAGCATTAAAACAAGATCCTATTAAAAATGCCCACAGGTCAAAAACAGGTAACTTGTGATATAATGTGTAAGACCAGTTTATAAAGCATGCATAGATGCTAGAGATGATATTTTACAACTCATATTTATAGTAAATACAGTGCACTATTTATTAAAAGAATGACTAATTATTCAACAAATGTTTGAGCTTGTTTGATAGAGGAGCTCTAGTTTTATTTACAGAATACACTGCAAAGATGATTCAGTAGGATCCTAATCCAGTTTCTACTGAAGTTAGCAGAACACTTTTAATTTAACAAGTGGGAAAGAAACAAATTACTTTTTTTGTCTGATATCTGCAATTTCACAAACAGTTAATTACTTATGTTTTGTAAAGTTTTCTGTCTAATACTGTCAGAGCTTGATTTATAAACCTGTGGCTGTTACACAGTTCGGAACTGGAGACAGAAATCACTTGTTTGCAACTCTGATGTAATCAATCTTTTTGTTGATAAAGGTGCACGATATGCTGAGCCTCAGTATGTGGATAAATTTGGATTCCATACAGCAACATGCTGTGGCTATATACCACAGGTAAGCCCCAGATCTATGAAAGTTATTACATGGTAAAATCAGGAATTAATTCTACATTGTGCAGAGATGCTGAGTACATGGGGGGTCGAGGGCCCTGGCTCCCTTTGGGAAGAGATCTGATACCTGAAACGCATAAAACTTTCCACATGTCCATCATCTTAGGCCCTCCCCCCTGGCAAAAATACAAGTTGGCACCTATGACATTAAGTGACTTGTTTTATTCATAATACACTGTTATAACTCTTTTTGTTCTTGCCATTTCATTCTGATCTTACAAGTTAAGTATTTTTCCTCCTTTAACTTATGAAAATCTGGGGGGTGTTTTTTTCATTGTGGGAGGGGAGGCAGAAGCTCCCCCCCCCCCACATGTCCCAGAATCCTGCCCGACGAGCCCCGATGCTCACCGCAGGGACCAGGATGAGCGGCAGCTTTGAGAACACGCCGATGCAGGCTCGGCGGTTCCATAGCTGCCTGAGCCTGTGAATCAGTGAGCCCCGGGAGTGGGGCCTAAAACCAGTGCAGGCTGCTCAAAAGGCAGCTGGGGAAACACCCAGCTGCTTGGAGATAGTGGAGAAAGCTGCCAGGGAGAGACGGGCGGCAGAGCTGAGCAGGGAGAGGCAGAGCGCTGGTGGGGAGACAGGCGGCGGAGCTGGGTAGAAGCAGCGGAGCTGGGGATGGGGCAAGAAGCCCCAGCGTCTGCCAGGAAACCCTGGTGAGGAAAACCACAGGTTGAGGCTCACGGAGCCGAAGTTGGCCAGTGGGGCACAGCAGGGAGAAGGAGGTCGTCCCCACCATCATTAGTGAAGACCAGGCTGCACTGGGGCATTCAGGTACCCCGGTGGGGAAGGGTAGCAAGCAATGACAGGACCCAGTGGGCAGCTGGGTGGAGGAGGAGGATCAGGCAGCAACTGACCTGGAGCCCGGTGGGGAAGAGGCGACCTCCACCAGGTGGTGGGAGCAGGAGTGATTAACTCCTATCCTGCTGGTCCCTGGGAAAAGTAACCGGAGGGACAGATGAAAATTCGTTCACCCATTCCAGGGAGGTAAAGGGGTCCTGGGGAGCCAGAGTCCCATTATACTTCATTGACAGATGCTGAACGTCTTTGCCTTGAGTGAAGACACTTCTAAGTTATCATTACCTCAGGCAGGAGATGTTTTAGTTATCTGGAGCAATTGACGGCCAAACATATCCAACCCTGCTCGGGAGGGCCTCGCGGGTGAGAAGTGATCATCCTGGGGAAGATTACAGGGAGCAGAGCCCTCCCAGGCTGTGGATGTGGTAATGGTGGGGTAAAGAGGAAGTTTGGAGCCCCACGAAGAAAGACCAGGGCCACGACCTCTTTGGGACCACCTACAGGGAATTGCCTCCCCATCTATCAACATCAAAGTCGTGGCAGGCGAGTAGGGGCAGCACTCAGAACCATCTAGGTGGCCCCAGGGTGCAGTCTCGCCTTGGCATCGCTGGAGAAGAAGGTGCCAACCAGAAAGGGGCCAAAGCCTTACAACACCTACCAGTGACATTCATGAACAGGGCTTTTAACTTTCTGACTGATGAGGTTTTGTTTTTAATTAAAAACATGTAAAAGATATCTTAAGACAGTCTCATTAAATATGCAATCCTGTCTCATTCATTGAGTGTAGGTCACCTGTACTTCAAGTGAGTGTCCTGTGAAAAAATAGTAGATGACTATGTAAATAAAGAATACATCATAAGACACATAAATAAGGAAGTGAACAAATATTACATGGATTACTTTAATTTTGGCATTTCCTAACCTTTGAATGCTTAATTATCTCATTGAAATAATGCTACTTCAATGTAGTCTATTCATGTGTGCAAATACAACTCGAGTTATTAAAACACCACTAAAATAGAGCCACCTCTGAGACAGCTATTTCACAGTAGACCGTTAGCCTATGTAGCAGTTTTGGAGAAGAAGTGAAAATTTACAGGTTCTCTACTTTGTAGGATACTTGATAGAATAAGGATGCCATCATAAATAATTTTTCCCCAGCATCTCTTCTCAGTTCTAAATGGGTGAATTTTACCAGTGGTAAGACACATGCAGCCCTTAAATCCCTCTAAAAGCTTCAAGCATGCTTTCTGCAGTGCCTGACACTTTGGCTAACTCTGCACAGGACTGAATTTAATCCAAAATATTTAACTGAGCAGACTTTTGAGATGGGCTTTGCAGACCACTGGTTGTTCATAAACAACAGTTTGAGACCCAATATGCAATGTCATGCATATGTTATATGAAATGTTAGGGGGAATTTTGGGATGTAGACTGTAATTATCTCAGAGGTACCATAATGCAATTAAAAGGTTAGGATACCTCAGTGACTGGAAATGTCCAGAGCTTTAGTTTTATGTCTCATATGGAAGACGGAGCCTCTGCTAGTGTGGGTATGGAATGACGCACACCTCTAAGAAAATGATCAACAAAACATCAAGTAGCATTTCATAGATGGTTAGGGGCTGGAAGGGACCTCACAAGATCCTTGGGTCCAGCCCCCCTGCACCAGGCAGGAAAGGCAACTGGTGTCAGGTGACCCCAGCAAGGTGACCGTCCAGTCTCCTCTTGAAGATTTCTAGGATACGTGACTGCACCACCTCTGGAGGGATCTTATTCCACAGTCTGGACACCCTAACTGTGAAGAAGTTTTTCCTAATGTTAAGTCTGAAATGGTCTTCCAGGAGTTTGTGGCCATTACTCCTGGTTTTCCCCACGAGTGCCCTGGTGAACAGTTGTTCACCGAGCCCTTGATGTATTCCCCTGATGTTGCGGTAAGCTGCTACCAAGTCCCCCCTCAGCCTTATCTTTTTTAGGCTGAAGAGTCCCAGGTCCCTCAGCCTTTCCTCGTATTGCTTGTCTTGCAAGTCTCTGATCATACAAGTGGCTCTTTTCTGGACTCTCTCAAGCTTTTCCACGTCCTTGTTGAAGCGCGGCACCAAGAACTGGACACAGTTCTCACCAGTGCTGTGGTCTCACCAATACCAAGTAAAGTGGAAGAATCACTTCCTTGGTTTTGTTTGAGATGCATCAGTGCACCTCAAATTTTAAGTTTTTCTTGTAACAGTATAAGGATCAAACAGGCCTTTACCCTGCCAAGAACACAGGTAGCAGGGCTGCCAGGTATAGTATCAGAAGTACAAGTATACAGTTCTATTATATAGAGATATCATTTTGAAAAAGATTAAGTATATGTTATTGTACTGTTTCTCTTAAAGTGATCCTGATTTCCTGGACTATGATATTTTATTTGCCAGGTGAATGAATGGCAGAGTGATTGGCCTACTTTCTTTATCCGGTACCGACTCCAAGCTCAAATGGATTTGATTGAGAAAGATTATGGAGACAGAGAAGCAAGAGAACTGTGGTCACAACTTAAAGTAGGAACAATTAAAATGTGTCTAACAGAAATAAGAGAGCTATCATATCTATAAAAAACATACATTATGCATATTTCAAAGGCATTTCAAACTATTTTTACAAAAAATGTTTTTTTATTTTAGTGAACAAGACTAACATCACTGATGGTTTGGGTGTCAGAGCTAAATGACTAGGGCATGCCTTACTATACAAGCCTTTTGAATTGGGTGCAGATTCAATAGGTGCATTGAATCCTGGCATTCAAATGTACTTCAAGCACCACCTACTAATGACCAGCTTGTTAATCTTTGAAAAGTTAGAGTTTAAGTGAAGGAATATTTAGTAGTATTAATATATTGGACAGTTGTACGTCAGCTACATCTGTAGACCTGGTTGTCTCCTACAGTTAGAATGGGGTCAGATTCTTGTGTTTGTGTTCCAGTTCTGCCACTGACATGCTCAATGACCTGTGTCAAAGTACTTAGCTCCTCTCTTAGTTCCCCATCTATGCAATGGGTCTGTGTGTTGGATAAATGACCAATGCATGGGTTCGGCATAATATATGGATAACTGAGGCAAACTTAGCAGCTTATATGAAAATCACTCTTACTCATTTACACCATTCACACCAAGTCACCTATCTGCAGCACTTGGAGTCACTGCGGTGGCCAGTCGCAGGCTTCTTCAAGGCGATGTTTAGTTGAGAGGGGCGCCAGCTTCAATTCTCTTGACGTGCGGATAGGCTGGCGTTGCTGCTTAAGGCATCCATCCGGGCTCAGCCTTCGCTGCCCTTTTATCTCCATGGGGCAGACTTTGTTCGATGCCTGGAGAGTCCTTCACCAATCACCACTCAATTCTTCACTTGTGCTCATCTTTTGGACTCTGTTACTGGTTATGTTTTGTTTTTTTTTACATTCCTGTCTGTTTTTCAGTTCTTATTTGTATCATCTCCACATTCTCAGATTGCCACCTGCACTTCATCTTTACGGTTATCTCTGTTTACTTTAAATATTTTATACCAGTCTGTCTAATACCTTGTACAATTATCCAACTATCAATTATACACCCACAGCACCCCCCCCGCCCTTATTGCTTCTTTTTCTGCAAAATGGAAATACATTTAAAATGGCAGTTTAGCATAAACATAACCATAGCATGGATATAACATATTCTAGAACATATTCTAACATGTGCAAACTAGAAAGCTAATTAACAATTACAAAATGTCTTGTGGTCTAGGATTGAAGGATAAGGAAAGTATTTGTCGCCATAATAAAAAAAGCGTTTCATAATATACTGTGTAAATCTTGGACCTTCCAAATTTTTACAGAATAGGAATGAAATAATTTCACTTTGAAATGTATGGGATCTGAAAGGTTATTGACTTCAGCCCATTCAGAAATTACTGCTCTGAACTGTAAAATAATCTGTAATTGAAAATAATCTTGTTACAAAGATTTCAGTTGTATATGAGAGTATTTTGTTGTGAATAAGAGTAATTTTGTTGGTATTGTAAAAGTCATTGAGCATGTCAGTGGCAGAGCTAGAACACTCAAAAAAGAGGAAATGCCTTTTTGTGTACCTTCACCTATATGATTGAACTTTAATTCAGGGGAAGGGAAAATAAGAATGTAATCAGGTGGTTGCTTGTTTGGTTTGTTGTCAGAAATAATGTTCACGCATGTAGGCATTCGTTCACTCACTCACTCGGTCTCTGGCAGCAGTTCAGGAGGTATATCAAAATTTTGGTAATGAGAGTTGCTTTCTTTTTAGTACTGTTCCAGTGAAGGTCAAATACTATTTTTCTTGTGATAGCTGACATGATCAATGCCTAGAATCAATATGGCAATATTGGATGCAAGTATTAATGATTAAATGATGCATTAAGCTGCCTGGAGCAAATCAGAATTGTTTCTGATTAACACCACAGACCAACTCCTGCATCCATACACTTCAATGAGAAAACAGCCTCATGATGATTGAAAATAGACAATAATTTTGATTAATTCTGGTTTTTACCTTATGTAACCCTATAATTTTTATTCTGGTAAAGTTATAGATTTTTACTTGCTTGTTTATGCTCTTTTTAGGTGAAGATTCCTGAGATGTTCTGTGATGTGGAGATTGTTCCTGCTCTCCTTCATGGGGACCTATGGGCTGGAAATGTAGCTGAGGATGACTCTGGTCCCATTATCTTTGACCCTGCTTCCTTTTATGGCCATTCAGAATTTGAGTTAGCAATTGCTGGGATGTTTGGTGGCTTTAGCAGCTCTTTCTTCTCTGCCTACCACAGTAAAATCCCTAAAGCTCCAGGGTTTGAGAAGCGAAACAAATTGTACCAGCTCTTTAATTATATAAACCACTGGAACCACTTTGGGACAGGGTACAGGGGGTCTACCTTAAATGTAATGAGAAAGCTCTTAAAATAACCACGTAGAGAGTATTTCTCAAACAAAATCTCACATGGTATCAGAGTAATTCAGATTCCCTACTTGTTGACAGTAACACAAGCAGGGATGAGTGAAAAGCTTCTAAGAAACTACACAGCAGACATAAAAGGTTAAGGTGGTATATGTACACTTTTGAGCCCCACTAAATGCTTGCAGTAGTTGTGTAATTTATGTATTACTGACTAATTCACTAGCACATTACTCATACACCGGGGAGGTAAAAGATTGTGTACAGCCTGTTGTTATTGTGGCGGGCCAGTAGGGGGCGCTCCTGCGTTGAGCCGCCCACCTCCCTGCTCCCGACCACCTTCCAGGCTCCGAGTGCCTCCCTTAGGGTGCCTCCCGTCCGGCCGACCCCTTCCCCGGAGCACACCCGCTAGCCTGGGGTTCCTGCTGCCACCATCCAAGGCTCTGGACTCACTTCTGGCTCTGCGCACCTTGGAAAACACAGGCCTGATCGTCCAATGGGTGCTAGACCCAATACA